ATAGGTGTGTCTATTAGGAGTTCCCCTATATCAAATCAAAATCAACTTTGAATTTTATTCAACAAGATTTGCCTCTGTTTGAAATTCCACAATCTTCATCTTTTTTTTCTTGAAATTTATTATCTTCTTCAATTCAAAAAGACCTCTGAAGTTATACCAAATCAAGGTCAACTTTATTATGCTTTATTTTCTTTTGATATTATTTCCAAGATGGGGGTAGCTTGTGAATTATACTACTTACTTGAAAAGATTCATCTAATTGAATTCCACAATCTTTAAATTCATTGACCACAAGCTGTGACTGATATGCTTGAGGAAGAATTGACTCGTTTTCAATAAATTTAAAGTCCAAAAATTTAGAGATAAGAAACTTTTTTTTATCAAAATCTTTTATGAGATATTTGGTTGCAATAAGCTTCCATAATTCTCTCACTGGGACAACTGATTCATCAAAAATATCATATATGGGATCCACCGAAGCATTGGGAATATGACTTTTGCATATATAGTCATCCTCCATCCATTTTTGTAGGTTTGAGTTTGCTCGTTGGTGGAATCATCAATTGGTGGCGGGGGTGTCATCATGGATTCAGTGACTATGTAAGCCACATCCAGAATAGTGAGTTAGAAGATGTCTTTTTGTTATCATCTCTTAAAATTCATTCCATTGAAGCGCTCAAGTCTTATGAAATCGTGATTCATGACTTTCAAAGAAGTCATGGTAGTCTCCTTGTTTTCACCCATATATATCGTATTGAAATTGTTGGAAATTTGATTGGGTGAAAGGGGCAAAAAGAAAATGAATTAGATGAGAAAAACCCTGTTGTTTTCAAGCATGTAGAGCACTATTTCAAAACAATATTCAACCCTCATTGATACTATGAAATGTGTTTATAAGAAATGGCAATTTGTCCTCAAGATACAAAAAACATAAGGATTTATTTTTCAATACTTCAAAGCTCTATGCATCCGAGCTTGAAACTCATTGTAGAACATTAGAGTCTTGTGTTTTTAAAGATTAAAAGAGAAAAAAATGAGTAGAGAGAGAGGGATGAGTACTCTATGATGTTGTAAAAAATTTTACGTACTAAATGAGAAAAATAGTCTCTTATATAGAGTACTTACTGGTTGCGAATTTACTGTTCAAGTGAACAATTTCATGCTATTATACTTCAGAAGTGGCTGTTGGAACTCAAATAATTAATGGTTCTTACATGTACCACGCTCACAAAAAAATGGTGAGCTATCGAGCGCCCTCGCGACGTGCTGCATCCTTTGCACATGCACCATAATTATCACATTTGTTATAAGAGTATAAAACATTTGAACGCATACAGTTAAATACCACTCAATCCACACACACCTCTTCAATGTGGGATTAAAAATCTACATCTCTCTTTACAAAATAAAAGCTTAAGAAACCCACGCCAAATACTATGTTATTTTGAAATACATACAAGTATTTTTTAAAACTAAAATACTAACAAGAGCGTAATGAATTCCATAAGAAAACACAAGACTTGAGGAGCTATCGGTCCTTGGCTTTTAGTATTTTACCTTGAGGACTGCAATTGGACATTTTATCAAGGCCATAAGACATGATCGCGTCCAAGTTCGAGAGGACCAAGGCAAGGGAGTGATTTCCCCCCTATGAGGCACACAGAACAAACAACATGATCGTAATCAACAACAACGGGTCCGGTCTGCAACTTTGGTGAGAGAGGAGGTAGGGATTGTGGTGGGTGGGAAGGGGGGGGGGGGATGCGGAGAGAGTAAGAGACGCGTTTTGTTTATTTGTAGTAAACTAAGCGAGAGGAGCAAGGCTTATAATAACATAACCCATCTTGACCATTTTAAGAATTTCGAAAGATTAAGTAGAAATTGGAAAATACATGTAAAATTATTGCATGTCCATATTTTACCAAGGGTGAGGTTTTCATTAAGTGGCAATTTGATTTGTAGAAGTAATGTTACATTGTTCTAATATTAAGGGTGAGATTTCCATTATTGTTCATTTTAGTTAGATGGTATAACTTTAACACGTCTTTTAATATCGTTTAAAAAAGTAGCACATATTTAAAGATAATGTTAAATGTACATCATCCAAAGAAAATGGATTATAACTTTATCTCTACAAAAAAAAAAAAGTTGCAACCTCGTATAAAATTTCCTTTTACCAATTTTATATTTATATCTATTTTTTATTTACTTTTATTATAGGTTTTCCCCTAGTTTGATGTGGCTAAAATTGAACCATCTTTTTTAAGATCCTTTTTGTGATCTTTAATGTAGTACATACCCATAAATCAAACCGCCAGTGAACCGGTCACTATCGATACTCCTTGTGGTGTACTGTAGACCATGTAGAGGATCCTTGTGTATGGTACACTTTCCCTGTTTTTTGACCTTTGAAGAGTGCCCCTTCGCGGAGAGAGAGGCGCCATGGCTGCCGCTCATAGGAGTGGTGAAACCCTATTGAAGTCTTCTGCTAAACTTCTGTATCAGAGGCTATTGAAGCAGGGAAGCTCAGAGAGAAGTGTGGGAAAAGAGCTCAACTCATGGATCAAGGTTCCAAAGAAGCGAACCAGGAAATGGGACGCCGCCCTCTCTGTCAAAGAGCTTCGAAAGCGCAAGCGTTACACCCAAGCTCTCAGAGTATGCATCTGTCTCCTACCATTCTTCACCATTACCCCTCTCTCTCTCTCCTTTTTCATCCTGTCTCTCTCTCACATCATCTCTCACTATGTTACCCCGTAACCCCAAAACTCTAAGTTTGTTACTGTTTTTTGCATTACTCTCTCTCTCGATTTCTCTCTCTTCACTTCTCTTTAGAGGCTCTTGAGTTTTTGTTGTGATATATAGTGGAAGATATATTTACTTCGTGTAAATAGTGAAATTTTGTATGTTATGTTTATAACAGCGATGAATCTTGTTGTTTTCTGTAATTTTCTTGTCAGAGTTTCAGAATGTCTGAACTTTTCTTAGGAATATGACGGGGAAATCTAAAATAGGAAAAATTGGGAGAATAAAGGAGTATATACACCAATGGAAAATAAGGAAGTCAGTACAAAATGTTAATTTTATTGTTTTATTCAAAATGTAATATGACATTTTCACATTACAAACCTGCTTTGCTCTTTTCTTAGTAGTTTCAGTGGTAGCATTTTAATGATCTGACAACTTATTACTTTATTGTAATTTTTTCGTGCTTTGAAAGATATCATTTTGATGTAAAAATTTTAAGGAATGGGGGAAGTATAATGATATTGAGGATCATTTGTTTATTTGAAAATGCAATGGTTGTCAGCAAGTTCAAAAAATGGAAATGTATTTTCAAGCGATATTAAGTGGTATTTAGTTGTTTCTCACGTGATACTTTCATACTTCTAAACAAAAAGATGCAATCTCCCATTCCCAATAATGTAATTCCAATCTCACCCAATTTAATATGGTTCCGAAGCTAAGTTGATCAAATCCTTAATTTGATATATGTTTTTTTAATAGATAGATAGCATATAACTTGCATGGCCCAGGCCTATCCTTGACGTTGCAAACCTCAATTTTGCAGTTCCACGTATTCTTAAGTTTTAAAATAAGAAATATTTTGGATTTCAGAATTTTGAATGCAAACAAGACAGGTTGGTACACTGCCTCTGTATTAGAATGTGAAAAATGCATGTGTGCCATGCAAATGGGCGTACATGCCTTTTTGTAATTGTCGGGAACCCTACTTTTGTTAGAGCTTTTCTGTGGTCCAACAGGAATATGTTTTATTGAGATAGAAGTCCAAAGTGATCAAATTTGAACTAGAAATTGGATAGTTCCTTCAGTTTCCATGTGGATCTGTATGCAATATGCGTTCAATTAATTTTGCAAATTCTGATCAATAAGTGCAATGATCCAGAGTTTCCAGACCAATTTGACACATCATCATCATCATCATCCGGAATCAATATTTTCAGTTTTTATTCAATGTGTGGCCCTAATTTTTTTAATTTTGATTTTCCAGATGTGAGGCTTCACATAAATTTGTTTAAATGGCACATAACTGTTTGTTGGAATAATTTCAATTTAATTGGAAAGTTTTGGAATGATATGTGATTTGCATATGAGAAACACAAGTTTGAAATCGAATTTGTTCACTGTAAAGCAGTTGAGTTGTGTTATGTTTTATTTTTGTACTTCAGAGAACTTTGGTCTGATATAACTAAAGATTATAGGTTCTTCTTACTTATTTTTATATAACTTGTTTTATAGTTTATTCTTATTTAAACAATGGATGAATTATTTATGCTATAATGGTTAAATACAGTGGCAAGAATCACTTGCTTTATTTGTATATTATGAATACTTTTATTTATGAGTATTTGGGATCGCTGCAGTGTCCATTGACTCCATTCTGCATATCTATAAATAAATAAATAAATTCACATAGTAATGGCTGTAACCAATTTTTAACAGACAAAAGGATACAGGTACCCTATCATATTGTGAGGTCCTAAACTTGTTTTTATCGGGGCACTGTTGTTACCCAACAAAAGTATGTATTTGAGCTCGTGTCCACGACACATATTTTTCCATATTAATACAGTTGGAATGCCTCTGTGCTTTTTTTTTTTACCACAAAATATTCAGATTGCCTCTGTGCTTAATGTTGATCACTTAACATACGATGATGATATTTGTGATTCAACCTTACCTAGGTGATTGGATGCTGGGTTTTTGTGTCTCACCATTATCCAACTCGGCATATCTCAGTCCATCTAAGTGATTCCTTATTTTATGTTGTCTACCAGGACAACTCACATAAGTGTTCTTCACATTCACAATTTGATTGGTTATAATGGATAAACTAGAGAGTACATTGGTTTTCATATTTATGTTTAACTTGTATGAGACTGACTAATCAATGGAACTACTGTGTTAGCAAAATAGTTTGCTAAGTGGCAGTGTGGCATGGTGACCTCAAAAGCAAATATTGATCGTTTGTCTGGTAATTCCTCCATAGAGCACACTAGGTATAGGGAGAAAATTCACCAGTCTATCTCTAGAAAGGGTCCTAGTAGAGACACCCCCCTTCATGGGGACTGATATTCTTTCTCATAATCTTCCTTTCTCTCTACCCCTTCTCCTATCCTTCCCCTCTGTAATACTTCTGTGTTGTCGACATTGCAAGACACAGCATGTTTCATACCTTGTGGCAAGCTGATATGCTTCCGTGCTTGTTGACATGCTTCTATGTTCCTTTCATTATTGTCAACTTTGAAAAAGAAAATACAGACATTGTGGCAAGCTGATCATTCAAGTTCAATGCCGAATTCTTTTTGCAATTAATTACTATGACACTATTTGGATGTTGAGTTGACTCGAGGAGATTCGTTTACATCTTGAAGTTACTTATCCCTGCTCCCATTCCCCAGTTGTTTTTAGCTCTTCGCCTGCACCCTAGGTTGCTTGTTTGAACGATAGCAGTGGGAACACAAAAATGAAGTACAAGGTCTTCTATCTTTGACTATAAAATCACCAAGTAATTGAAATTAACTTGTTTGATTCCCCTCCCCTCCCCTGTTCAGGGCAGACACGCATTGTGTCCTAAACAAACATTGTATGGTCTACTGTATGAAATATCTTGTGTTTTCTTTTCCTCTCTCTCTCTCTCTCTTTGCTCTCTTGGGAACAGCAGAAGTGTACTCTTAAAACCACACTGTTAACAAATATTGCTAACAGTCAGTCAGATAAACATGAATGAAGTTCTCTCCCTACCCCCAAATCCTCTCACCAACTCTGATTGCTGTACTATCTGACCATCTCTCTCTCTCTCTCTCTCACTGCAGCTCTCGGAAACAATGGCGAGGAAGGGCATGAGCCCAACATCTGGTGACGATGCAATCCGCATTGACCTCATCTCCAAAACTCGGGGAATAGCATCCGCTGAGAAGTACTTCATGGACAGACCTGTACCAGCGAAGAGCCATCTTGCTTATGGAGCCCTCCTCAACTGCTACTGCAAGGAAAACCTGACTGAGAAAGCTGAGGCCCTCATGATGAAGATGAAGGAGCTTGGATTTGTTTATTCTCCCTTGTCATACAACAGTCTTATGACCCTTTATATGAATTCTGGCGACCCTGTGAAAATACCATCAATAATTCAAGAAATGAAGGCTAATAACATCACTCCTGATACTTTCACATACAACATTTGGATGCGAAGTCTAGCTGAGGTCCATGACATAGATGGAGTCGAGAGAGTTCTCTCTGAGATGAAGAGAGACGGCCGAGTATCTGAAGATTGGACCACATTCAGTAATCTTGCTTCTATCTATGCAAAAGTTGGTCTGCATGAAAAGGCTGAAGCTGCATTAAAAGAGGTCGAGAAGAAAAATGGCTTTCGAGATTTGGTTGCCTTTCAATTCCTTATAACATTATATGGGCAGACGGGGAATTTAGCGGAGGTTTACCGAATTTGGAGGTCACTTAAGTTAGCATTCCCTAAAACTGCCAATATAAGCTATCTAAACATGACCCAGGTCTTGGTTAAGCTTGGAGACTTGCCTGGAGCAGAGAAATGCTTCCGGGAGTGGGAGGCATCATGTTCAGTTTATGACATTCGGGTGGCAAATGCAATGATAGATGCAAATTTGAAGGCGGGTTTGCTTGAGAAGGCAAAAGATGTTCAAATTCGAGCAAAGAGGAGAGGTGCAAAGCCTAATTTGAAGACTCACGAAATTTTTATTGAATACTATTTGAGAGAAGGGAAAATTGTTTTGGTGCTTGAGCACATTGAGAAGGCTGTTTTGGTTGCCCAGAGAAGTAGGCGGGAGTGGAAGCCTGGTCACGATGTCGCGTGTGAAATAATGGCATATTTTGAGTGGCAAAAAGATGTTGACAGAGCCGAGGGTTTTTGCGCAATTTTAAGAAAGTTGGGCACGGTCGATGCCAGGGTCTGCGAGGCTTTGTTGAGGACTTATGTGGGGGCCGGGAAGAAGGATGCCAAAATGGGTCTCAGACTGAGGGCAGAGGGTGTTGAGGTGAACTCTGAGATGGAGAAGCTTCTTCAATTGGTTTGTATGTAAGATTCTGCGGTTTTGTGGATCAGTAAGCTGATTTCATTGTGGATGAAATTCCCCCAAGCTTGTTGAGCATTTTCAAAATAATATGAGGCTAGTTTCTTTTATCTTAAGAATGACATATTTGTTTACCTGTACGTCTTAATCAATCTTAATTGGTTGCAAACACATACGAGTTTGTCTACTGAGATGTCATTTTTGCATACAATTAAGTATGCAAAGCCACCAACTGTATACCGTCCCATAATTAAATTAGGGGTAGCAACGGGTCGACCCGGCCGCAACTTGACTATGTTCTTCATGGACTCCCAATATTAGGGGTGGCAATGAATCGACCCGTTCCTGACCTAATGGGTTCCTCATGTACCCAGACCCAGGGTCCATGTGACTTAGACCAGATCCGGACCCAAACCCAGTTGGGTCCAAGTCATTTGGATCAAGACTCGACCTAGACCCGAGGTTGAAAATAAAAAATAAGAAAATTATTTTATATATTAATAACATATATTTTTCCATGTCCAAAACATGGACCCAGATTCAGACCCTCCAACCACCCCTATCCCATGTATACAGTGAATCATTGTGAAAAGCTCAATAGAAAACAACTCATTTTAGCTTTCCTTTGTTGAGGCCATTAACACATTGAGCGGCGCATCCTAAAATCGGTCTGAGGTTGGTTTTATCGCCATAAAAGCAAGTGGAACGCTTAGACACTACTAATAAAAACGAATGTATCTTTTAGAAAGAAAGCGTTTATAGGAGGTGTCAACCTAATACTGTATTAACGTACACCTAAAAATCGCATTAGAGAAGGTCGTTTGTATTAAGGTACACCTAAAAATTGCATTAGAGAAGGTTGTTCTTATGCTAGAAAACTCCCAAATAGGTCATCTCGATATTGAATTTCATGTATATGAAAGAAAAACGATTTTTAGTTCTAAAAATAGTTTATCTTCTAACACATTATATGGACTGTTTATTTTTAAGATTTTCAAGTGTTTATAGATCTGCTTGATTGTCACCTTTCCTTAAATGTTAAATTTCATAATCGAGGAAAGCAATAGATTTTCATATCATTGCAAGGCTTTGTGGCACCGAAACTGCATTTTCGGCGTTGTTTTGAGGTACACCTTAATTCAACAGTATAAGGTTAGACACCTTCTACAAACTTCACCCTTTTTAGAAACGTGTTTACTACTTATTATTGGGAACATATCTCCATATTTCCTATTTTTAGGTTTCATTTCACAATAGAACCAAAATTTTAAAAGATATCTAAAAAGTGTAGATTTTATTTTTTCTAACCCCTTGAGCCAATTTAAACCTGTTTTTTTAATCCAAACAAATCTGAAAAGACATGCCTTTTCTAAAGTCTTCCTCCCAAACTTCTAGAGAGAGATAAGAGCTTCATGGATGTGAGAGACTATTGGGAGGACAGAGAGGTACTTGAAGAGATACAAGAGAAGAGAGAGAGCTGTTTGAAGAGACACATGAGGAGAGAGAGTGAGAAACACAAGAAGAGAGAGAAATATAGAAGTTTGGGGTATATAAATAAAGAGAGAGAAATGATTGGGTTTAGAAAGAGTATGTATTTCTCATATTTGTTTAGGTTAAAAAATAGGTTTAAAGTGGTTAGGGGGTTAGAAGATATTTTTTGAAACATTGGGTTTATCATGAAATTAAACCTAAAAATAAGGGATATGGAGATATTTTCTTTTTATTATTTAATTCAGTCCATTTCCGCCCTTCACCCATTTAGCGGTTGAGCTAAACAAGTCATATCCGTTATTTGAGGGTGTACCCTTTTAGTCCTCAGTTTATTAAGAAAGGGTTTTGTTACCACTTGATGGTGCATACCCTTAAAGTCCTTAATATTTTTGGACATTTAAATACCTTTATCTTATAGTGTAGTAACTTTTTGTCTAGGGTATTTTACATAAGTAGTCAATGGTAGAGTATAAATTCCTAACATAAATAAAAATATTTATTAATAACTAGTAATATGCACATGTGTTGCACGTGATATTTAATATTAATTATTGAAACATATTTATCATTGATTAATATTTTTAATAAAATATTTATAGGGTTAATATTATCTATTTTTCTTCCAGCAAGGTTTTGCGTTTTCTTTTTTTAAGTTTTTCAATTACTTTTGGGACAAAAATTAGTTATAATTATAATATAGTTATAAAATTCGAATAAAAAATAAATTGTTTTTACCAATATCTAATTTTTATAATTATTATAGAAGTATATGTGTATAGAAATACTTAGACTTTAGGGAATCAAAGCAAAATTATAAATGTAATATTCTAATAAGAATAAATTATTCTCACATAATTTAATTTATTATTTACTATACCTATAGTTACATAACGTTATTTTACAATTTATTTATTACAAAATAATAAATATAAATATAATATATATCATATTTATTATCCAATCATGAAGATAAAGAGGAGAGAGAGAGTACACAAGGAAAAGTAATAAATTTTTAAAATAATATTATTTGTAATTATAATTATAGAATCTAATTATAACTGTAACATTCTAATGAAAATAAATTATTCTTACTAATATTTATTTTAGAACCTTTCATGTAGCAAGGTTTTTTTTGCTTTCTTTTTTATTTTTTGCATTTTTTGCATTGCTTTTTTGGGACAAAAATTAGTTATGATTATAATATAGTATAAGATTCGAACAAAAATAAATTATTTTTACCAATATCTAATTTTTATAATCATTATAGAAATAATAATTATAAAAATTGTACTTAGACTTGAGGGAATCAAGGAAAAATTATAAATATAATATTCTAATAAAAATATTTTTTTCTACTTAAATTTAATTTATTATTTATTATAATTATGATTACATTAACAATTTATTTATTACAACATAATAATTGTAAATATAATAAGTGTATTATATTATCCAATCATGAAGATAAAGAGGAGAGAGAGATTATGCATGAAATAGTAATAAATTAAAAATTTTAAATAATTAAATTTATAATTACAATTTTAGAATCTAATTATAATGGTATCATTCTAATAAAAATAAATTATTCTTACTAATACCTACTTTTTAAAATTATTATGGAAATAAAATACAAAAAACTCATCCAAAACACAGTAACACAATGATTTCTTAAATTCAAATCCTGCACAATTAGAACTTTAAATCACATAGCCAGAGATAGAGAGCAACTCTCTTAGTAAGAGAAGGTCATCATCATTCAGGATTCAGAGTCCTTGACACCTGGACATGATCTGGTAATATTGAACGAAATACCTATGTGATCTCTTATCGGGGAATAATAATAACATTTTTTATTTTTTTTAATTTCACCCTTTTTGTTTTGGCAAAAGATCACTTACAGGTGGTTCTATTATCATAACATATATTTCAAAATAAAATCAACAAATCAATAAAACCAAAATCTTAAAACTTGATGCCATTGAAATAGCTATGCACTATGCTTGAGAATAAAAGATAAGATTACAAGAAGTAAAAGAGAAGAGTGTCATAGATTACTTCAATCGGACTTATTACACCCCACACCGAATCACCACTGCGCGAGATCAATGATCAACCTTCAATCTCAATTGGGAAAGCAAATTTAAGCCAAACCATACCAATAGACCATGAACCCCTTTGATTATAAACTCAAACCTTAGGTGAGTTTCCTTAACAATATAGTTTGAGAGATATTGATTCTCTTTTTTTGCTACACCCTAAAACCCTTAGCTACTTTTTACAATGTGAGAGAGAAAGAGAGATCAAAGATGAGAGTGGGAGGTGCCCCCTTTGGGCTTTTCAGGAGAGAGAGAGAGAAAAAAAAACTTTTTCAGGAGAGAGAAAGAAAGATAAGATGGGTAGAGATTTTGGATAAAGACAATCCTTTTTTTATAAACTTTGAACATGATTATTCTTAGGGTTTTCTTTGATTTGCATATTCTTGTGAGATTGAGTATGAACTATTGATCTTGGGTGACTTGTAGAGTGAGAGGTTTGAGTCATCTATTTCATAGATGGGTCATCAACATTATGAAATGTGCATGAATCATTATCTCAATTTTCTAAACCATATTCCCATCAATATAAATTAAATAAATTAAATCTAATTTAAATATTACGCATACCATAAAATAGCACAAGTCTACTCAATCTTTCTACAAAATCTTTCAAAGATATATCAATATCTTCCAACCATATAGACACATGCCATATTACTAAAAAATAGGAAAGAAAATAAAGGGTGGGCCATGCCACCCAAGGGAGGCACTCATGGGCCCCACCTTCTAGAAATATGGTGGGCCCATGTGCACAATCGACCCCCATGATATTTTTATATATTTACAATTAATAAAAAGATTTTAGAATATTATTTGAATATTTAAACTATTGTAAAATCAATATCTTTAATTTTATAAATCTAAATTTCATAAATAAAATATCCAGACGTTCATAAAAATTCAAATAATAATTTTAAAATAATTTATATCATAAAACAAATATAATTAAATTAATATGATGGAAAAATAATCTATAGGGCTTATGAATCAATAATCATGGGGTTCTCTACCTTCAACTGTGGACTACAAACCGCACTTGCTTTATCAGACCAACCTTGTGTTTCCCATGACCCACAGTCCAAGTAGGAGTTCATTAGTGGGTCACAAAAGTCTGGCCGATGAGCCAATAGGTCGCAATCCCAGTCTGTGGATTTCAAGTCCTCTTCTAGAGATGAGTAAATTTGACCTAGACCTGATGCGACCACATCTCTTATAGTGCATAGGGGTCTCTCTCGCACATGCATATGCTTCACCTTAAAGGTGGCTTACTTGCTTTCCTGAACGATCGATCAATATGCATGTCATGTGATGACATATGAATGAAGTTTTGGCCCTTTTCTTTATAGGCCACCATCACACACAAGGGTCACACAGTCCCTCGGCTCACTCATCTAGGCATATGCTTTGAACTCATCAAGGGATGACCCATTAGAACCCTTATCGGTTTGTTCTCTATGTCTAGGTAATATGGGTTTTTTCCAACCAACAGACCTAGATCGTCAAACACAATTTGGTATCAGCAAACATAGTTTGCTTAGTATGACCCA